TCTCTGAAACAGTTTATTAACGCCTAAATTAACTTAAAATGCCGAAACCTGGCGGCAAAATATGTTTGCTTTTCTCATCCTGGTGCCTGCAGTTTGGATTAGATAGGTGAAAACGCTAATGCTAACTTCACACCAAAAGCAACAAAGGCAGCAGGAGCTGCTAGTTTACATAGAAAGTCAATGGTTGGCGAGCATCAAGGCGGAGGAAAAGGTCCTGCAGCAGCAGGAGCATCGCATCATGAGCTTCTGAGAATCTGATGCGCTCGATGCGCTTCAGAAGCAGCAGCTGCTGGGGTTGGAAAAATTGAACTTTTGCTGCTCGACGCACCACATCAACCAATCAGAGAAGCTGATCTAGGAGCTGGCAGGGAGACAGACACAGCGCTGCTGATGCAGATTGCTATGATCACTCCTCTGAAACAGTTTAACGCCTAAATTAATTTGAAATGCCAAAATCTGCTGACAAAACATGTTCGCTTTTATTATCCTGGTGCCGGCAGTTTTGGATTACGTACATGAAAACCTTCTAAATTATAGTCTAAATTCACCCCCCATAACATGGGAAGAAATAAATGTACCTGCAACTCTTTAACTGCGTTTATTTCCCTCTTCATCAACAATAAATCCTGTGGATTTGGTGACATTTGATCAAGAGCAATTTTGTCCATGTATATTTTAATACGAGGCTGTACTACGCTAAGGCTGATGACGTTTTTACAGTACATGAGCATATGAGAACACACAAGTACACATATTGAGAAACGGCCGTGTACTTGTGCGTTCTCCTGTGCTCATCATTTTAAATGTTATTTTATTTAATTTCACTTCAGGTCCAGTACATTGTTGTTGCTAACATGCTTTACTTCCTAAAATTCAGTTTCTGCAACAAAATTTGTAATTTAGAAAATCTATTATTACAGTTCACTCTAGGAGTGTGTTTTCGATCAGGAAGAACACTTCATATAAAAGTGAGCGTTTGTATTGGTCTTAATTAGGGGTATAAATCACATCCATCAAGGCGATTCGATTCAGTATCAATTTCCTGACCAAACGATTCAATTATTTTCGATACTCAGGAATACACCACGATACAGTATGATTCGATTAATTGTTTTTTGTTGTTGTTTTTTTTTTTTTTTTTACACACCTTAAAGGCTAGACAATGTTTGAAATTTGAAATAAATCAGTGAAAGCTGAAATATCGTTATGCATTTTTTTTTTGAGAAACAACAGCAAATAACAGAAGTAGAAAAGTTGCATCAAAAAATTAGTGCAAAATTAGTGCAATGAGTGCAATGCAATAGCTCGGCTCCAGACGTCCCCGCCCCCTCCACAGACGCTCAGCTGCACCTCTCCCAAATTGTAGCTGACCGCAGACAGTGCGGACAGGAGGTCGGCTTGTTTTGTCTTTATGACCAAATTTGCGAAAAACAAATTGTGAAGTTTGACCCGCTCGAAGAGCGAGGTGCGCGAGAACGCTGGGACCCTTTTTCCACCTGGAAATTTGTTGTTTTTTTTTTATACAACATAAAGTTGCAAAAAATAGAATTAAAACTAAATAAAATATGAGAAAAATAAATGTTTTTTAAAGTTTAATTTACAGATTGCATTTCTGTTAAGTTTCCGTTTACAAAACATGTTCTATAGTTTCAACAATAATGGACGTAAATGCACTCCGGATGTCGTGCTAATTTAGCTATTTTTACACTGGCTTTCCCTCCTTAGAGCAGCTGGATTCCTGGGAGCTGACAGAAAATGGCGGGAACCTGTGGAAAGTGGAGGACATGCCAGGAGACTGCGGCCATGACTTCTACAATGAGGAAGTCACAAAATATTTTGTAACTTCTTTTGAGTGAGTGGTTATAAACCCTGCTATGCTAACATTAAGTGGCCTGCATTCCTGCCTTCCTTTGTTTGGAGCTATTGATGGGGGCATCTTTAATAAGTTGAATGTCTCATGCTTCCAATGCTATAGTATAGCTAAATGCTAACAATCCTTTTCCTGCATTTCCAAGACTTTGCCTAAAGAGACAGGTGATTAACCTGTTAGAGGAGGGTTACAGCCCAGATCAGCTGGACGCTCAGCCTCCTGTCACAGTGGAAGACTGGTAAGACCACTATTGAGCATTTTTTCTATGGTTAAAACTTTACATGCACAAGTTCACCCTCACAAACAATTACAGGTGCTAGGCTCC